AGTCTGACGGTTTTTTTTTTTTTTTTTTTTACCAATATGAACAGAGATAGAGAGAGAGAGAGAGAGAGAGAGAGGCCAAAAAAAAAAAAAAAAAAAAAAAAAATAGAGAGAGAGAGAGAGGCGCAAACTTGGGTTCAGTCCCACCAGCACAGAGAATTGGATTTAACAGCCGAATCTGGACGTGTTTGAAGAGAGGTGCAAGGGAAATCACAATTGATCTGCTTTTTTCTGTATCTGTACGTGAAATGCATCCAGGTTCAGGCGATTAATCCAATAGGTCTTTGCTAGTGGGACTGCGCCAACTTGTGTAAACAGCAGCTCCTGCCTGGAAAACCGCAGAGTTTTTTTTGGAACTGGCAAAACTTTTTTCTCTTTTCTTTTTTCTTTTTTGAACTGGCAAAACTCGAAGCATTCCCAAAAAAAAAAAAAAAAAACTTGAAGCATACAACCAAGCCCATGCATGTGGGCTGAACGGTGCACACGTGTTAGGAAACGGCTGGGGCGAGGTCCCACTAGCAAAGAGGATTCGATTGAACGCCAGAATCTGGACGTGTTTGTGGAGAGGTGCAGAACTCGCGATTGATCTGCATTTCTGAATCTCGGCAAAAAGGACGTCCGGATGCAGGCGCTCAATCCATTTTGGTAGTGGACCGCGCAGACTTGGAGTCATGAACTCTCAAAAAAAAAAAAAAAAAAAATAGAAATTGATTGAGTAATAATATACGAATATGAAAGGGCCCAAAAAAAATGAAAATATGAAAGGGCCAGCCCAGTTAAGTGAGAAAACAACACAAAACACGGACCATACTACCCGTCGTCACCCGAATAGAACGCCCGGTCATTATAAAGACCGGTCATTATAGCTGTATTTAGTGTAACTTTCGGTCTAGATACAGCTATACTGAGCGGGCGTTCTATTCGGGTGAAGACGGTAGTAGCAGGTCTGTTCTTTGTTGTGAAAAAAAAAAAAAAAAAAAAAAAAAACCCCCTCTTTTTTTTTTTTTTTTTTTTTTTTTTTTTTTTTTTTTTTTTTTTTTTTTTTTTTTTTTTTTTGGCTGGGACCTTCCCTGGTCCTTGCACGGGATGGCCACCCGGCGGGACCCGGGCGGCCCGGCTGGTAGCCTAGATTCTACACCAATTCTTTATGACCAAGGTGGTTTATTAGTATGGCCTTTATGAGCACGGTGGCTAAGTATGGCCTTGAAAACTTGTCTTTAAGAAAATAAAAAATAAAACAAGGCCTTGAAATTGTCTCCTAGCCTTACCCGGACGGATGTTCGGGACCCCTCCAAATGTCCGGGTTGTATGATCCGACAACCGGGCCAAATCTCGCCTGAGACAGTGTGTCCGCCCCTACTGAACTTGAGGTAGATTTTTCTCCCTTTTTTTTCTTTTTCTTTTTGTGGGTTCTCAATGAGATGAGGTTGCTCCCCACCAATAGATGGAGCTTTGTTTTTTTTTTTGTTTAAAAAAAAAAAAAAAAAAAGAGGTATATGCCCATAAATTTCTGGGCTATTTGGATCAGGAGGGAAAAAAAAACAAAATCGTCAAAGATGGTGTTGTCAAAAACATGCTCTCTCAGACTGAGTCACAATATTTTGTTTTTTGTTTTCCTTTTCCCTGTTTCTTTAATTTTGAGGCTCAACTTCTGCTCAATTATTTTGATTTTTTTTTCTTCTTGTGGGTGTTTTTTTTTTTTTTTTTTCCCGCTCAAAATCGCATTTTTACTATTATCAGGGCCCAGTGCCTCGGGAAGGCTAAATAAATCAAGCACAGTCGCTAACGCAGGGACCACCAGGTTGTCCTGCCCTTCTGAGGGCACAGAGCCCCATCCCTGTACGCACACATGCTCCATACTCGAAGCCAAGCACGAGCCCTGATACAGAAAACACCGCCAACACTATCTAGTATCTACCTATGCCCTCTGCTATGCCTAAAATGGCCATTCCACTGCAAAGCGCATGCCTAAAATGGCATGTGAAAATCGCGTCACCGATTGCCCCACCCCACCTACACCAGAAACAAGGAGACCGTCGTTCTCTCCTCATAAAAATAAACAAGGCTGACGAAAGTTGTAGTCAGTCTATAACCCTATTGAGAGAGGGAAAACATATACCCTAATTAACCTAATTAACCTAATTACCCTAATTTCATATTTGTAGTACAGAACGAGAAAATCTTCTTACCCACACTAAACACACAGACACGGAGCCAGTAAACCATCGGAACATTTTTTTTTTTTTTTTTTTTTTTTCAATCGGAATATCAAATATATCTCCAGCAATTTCGAGCATCCAGCCAAAACAAGCTACATATTAGTGCAGGAAAAAAAACAAAAAGGCAACCTCCTCAGACTGACGTCTCAACACAACAAACTTCAGTAGCGGACGGAAAAAAAAAAAAAAAAAAAAAGAAGACAACCTACTAGTCGCCAATCCAACAGAGTGCCAGCAACGAGTGAAAAACAGGGTCGCCAACCTATGTGGGTTCGTTGCGAAGTGAGGTAAACCGTTATAAATTTTCAGGGAATTTGAATTTGTCAAAAAAAAAAAAGAGAAAAAATCGCCAAAGATTGCCGTGTCAAAAAAAGCAAGATAGTGGGTAGGAGAGCATGTTTTTGACACCACCATCTTCGGCCTTTTTTTTTTTTTTTTTTGGGTCCTCTGCAGCAGTTATACAAAGTTAAGCCAGCTAGTGCTCAGGGCCCTTCAAGGGGAAAGAAAAAGAGCTGTTGCCCCTGCAGCAGTTGTACACAGCGAAGCCGGTCAGAAGAAAAAAAAAAAAAGAAAACTGTTGCGGCGGTGTCACCTGCTGCAGCACCTGCAGGCGCAACAGCTGCAGCAGTTTGTGTCCCCCCCCCTCTTCCTCTGCAGCCATAACAACGCTGCAGCTGCTACAGCTGCTGCACCTACAGTGCTAATGCAGCACCTGCAGCTGTACCTGCTGCTGTTGCAGCTGCGGTCGCACCTCCAGCTGATGCAGCTGCAGCTGCATGTGCTGCAAGTGGTGCAGCTGCAGCAGCAGCAGCAGCAGCAGGCAGAGAGAGAGAGAGAGAGAGAGAGAGAGAGAGAGAGAGAGAGAGAGAGAGAGAGAGAGAGAGAGAGAGAG